GGCCCATGTGGTACTCTATTTTGTCTGACTCTGGAAAGAATATTCTGGGTTTAATTTTTGTTTTCTTTCGTTATTCAGTATGACACTGGATAGTGGACTTCTGGGCAATTCCATTCAAATGTATTAATGTAAATCATGGTTACATATTGAATTGCCTTAGAACACTGTGATTCCATGAAGGTGTGTGTGTACACACTTTAACATACATTTATCTAGCTATCTATCTATCTGTCTATTTGGTGTGGTTTTTGGGCTGCTGGGGTCTGGGACCTCAACCATGGTCTGCCATGTGGGAGTTCAGCACAGTAACCACCATGCCATCTGCCACCCCCTCGCCCCAGGGGATGATCTCTCGCTTTCTGTTTCTCTGTGTCTTTCTGGTGAGTGCACGTACCCTATAACAAAAACCTCTCTCCCCCCCCCAAAAAAAATTACTGCTATCAATTTAGTCCTAGATTGGTGCTTCAAAGAGGTATTGAAGCCAAATAGGTCCTGGCTGAGCCTGGGTGTGGAGAATGTCTGCTTAGTTGGCTTTTCTTTGTTACTGGTTTTATTAACTGATAGACTGTGTGGTTTTGACTATGTTAGGTGCTGCAGATACAAAAACGAATACAGGGAGTATCTTTAAGAGGTTCCTGGGTGAGGTAGAATGTCTTTGTCCTCCACTGGAGTTCAGAGTGGCATTACTGTTTTCCTGTGTTTGTTTCAAATCAGAAGCATCTGTCTTCATTTTATGAAGTTAATGTTTAACCTAAATATCAAACCGGGCATTAAGTCATTGATCTCTGTAAGTGATAAAAGTCAAAAAGACTTCAGAAGATATAAATTATTTTCTCCTTGTGATCTAATTCTTACGTTTCATATTCTTTATATTCTGACAGGCTTTTAATAATAAAGGAAATGTTAAGTTTTTTAAAAAGATTTATTTATTTAATTCCATTTGTTACTATTATTTCTTAATTTGACCAGAGAGAGAAAGGGAAAGTGAGAGAGCAAGCCACGAGGTTTGGGATTCAAAACTATGGTTGGCCATGGTGGGAATCCAGCGCCTTCAGTCACCACACACCACCTGCGAGCCCTGGTATTGTTAATTTTTAAATTTTCCTTAGTTTAGATGACTTCAAAGTTTGAAAGTTCAAAATACTTCTTTTTTCTCTTAAATTTTTTCTTTAATTATTTTATTTATCTTTTTCCATTTATTTATTTTTATTTGAGCATAGAGGGATGGAGTGAGAGAGAAAGTGAGAAAGCAGGCTGCCAGGTCAGGGACTTGAACCAAGGTCAGCCATGTGGGAGTCCGACACCTTTAACCATCACGCTACCTGCCGGCCCCGAAAGTTCAAAATATTTCTATATAACTTATTTCCCAGAAAATTTGCCTTGTAAAGAGAAAATGTAGCCATACATTAATTAAGATGAGGAAATTTTCTAAACTCTTCAATGCATGGAGAATAGTGACTGTCACGCCTGATGTATGAAGCCAGGGCTTTGCCTTCTAGCAGAGATGGGATTACAGAGCCCAGGCTTCCTCTTGTGCGAGAAACAGCCTGTACAAACTGTAATCATTCCAGACACTGGCAGCAGGTGGCAGAGTACCATGACCCCTGAGGAAGGGACGCATGAAGTGAGCCCTGCACTTGCCAGAGCTGCCAGGTAGTGGCACAGTGCTGCAGGAGCAGGCTCAGCTCTCGGTTGAGGAGACAGAGCTGGAGGTCCAGGGAGACTAAGGCACCTCGAGTTCATAGGGCACCCGGCCAGGCGAGGGCAGAACAGAGAACTCTGGCGATCTCCTGAACCACGGCTGGACTGCTGAGCAAGTGTGTGTGTAAACTGTCTGAAGCCAGGAAGGAGACTTTCTCGAAAGAAGCAGAAGAAACAATTCCTGGACTGTTACTTTCCTGGGCTTGAAAATTCGTGTTACCACTAGCCATGGTGGGAAACCCCACCGTTCAGGGGAATCATGTAAAATGTTCACGGATGTGTTGGGGAGAAGTAGCCCTAAAGGTTGCTCTCCCACATACAATTTAAAAGCTGTGAAAGGATTAAATATAACTTCACTGCATCTCAGAATAAGCCAAAGCCTATAAGAAAGTATCTGATATCCAAAAAAGTAAAATTCTAAATGTCTAGCATCCAGTAAAAATTGACCAGACCTGCAAAGACACAGGAAACTGTGACCAATAATGAGAAAAGTTAGCCTGTAAAAACAAACCCATAAAGAATACAGATGATAGAAGTATTAATTATGCATATTAAAAATTATCGTAGGGACCAGCAGTTGGCGTATTGGCTATGTCACTGGACTCCCATGTAGCTGACCGCAGTTTGGGTCCCGGATCCAGTGGCTTAAACTCACGCCGGGCACGTTTGCGCCCAAGATCCTGAGAGAAGAAAGGATTGTGGTGTGGCCATTCCCCTTAGGGGGTGATTTCTCGCTTTCCGTCTCTCTGTCTGTCTCCTTCTGGTGAGCACACATGCCCTTATAGCAAAAACCTCTCAAAAAAAATATTATCATAAATGTGTTCTACATATTTAAAAAGGTACAAGAGAGACTTTATTAAGTAGACATGAACGATATAAAAACCAGACCAAAACCGAACATTCACAAATGAAAAGTGTAACAGATGGATTAACAAATCAGACAAAGCAAAATAACTTAACAATATAGCAGTAGAGGAGGCAAGCAGATGGCATGGCAGTGAAGGTGCCAGCCATGGTTTGAGTCCTGGACCTGGTGGCTTGAAAATCATGCTGGGAACCCTTGTATGTGTCTCATTTTCTCTCTTTCTCTGGTGAGTGCACATGCTGTAGGGTGAAAACCTTAAAAAAAAAAAAGCAATAGAAATTACTTAAAATGAAACTCAGAGGGAAAAAGACTGGTGGTAAAAAAGGACAGAATGTTTGTGTACACTTAGACAAGTTAATATGGCCAGTGAAAGTATGAGACAGGAGCAATTAACTGTGACCATAAAAAATCTGCCCTGACGTCCATCAGGCTGGAGTGACAGCCAGCCAGCTTCTGTAAAGTTAACAGGAGTACATATCGCTTTCAAAGACATGCCCCACTGAGAAGTGTCATAAGGATCCACTTCGACTGTTGCTCTCTTACGGCAGAAATGCTCATTAAACTCCGACTATCCAAAACTGCTGTGTGAAATCATAGCAAGAATGAAACACCCCACGCACTGGCTTAAAGGGCTCAAGCCACTTTGACAGAGGTACAGCTTGATTTATAGCCCAGATGCCGTGCTTCCAAAGCCGGGATTTCTGGACACAGTGTTCCACAGTTATTTTAATGTCACAGTTTCCAAGCAAACAGGACCTTTGGTCCACTTGCAGCCCAGAGCTGGTGCTGGCCCCTTTATTCACAGTGCGGCTTTGCTTTCAGCCTGCCCAGACTGTTTAAATTTCATCTAAACTTGACCTTTCCCCAAAATTCTGTAAAAACTACTTGGATGAGGTGTCCTGTCATTCCTCTGCTGCGCATTATCTGTTACAGCATTAAGTCAGTAAGGCAGACTGTTGGATTACGGGTTTTACTTGTTGATTTCAGGCTGATTTGCATTAGGAAAATTACAGCTGGATTCTCAAAAGGGGGAATAATATAGCATAGGTAGAAACAACTTTATTATTGTTTAAATAATTATTTCATTTAACTTTATTTATTTCAATTTGAGCAGAGAGGGACAGAGCAAGAGAAAGAGGGAAAAAGTGAGAAAGCAAACTGCCAGGTCCAGGACTCTAACCGTAGTCAGTGATGTGGAAATCCAGTGTCTTTAACCACCACGCCCCCTGCAGGCCACAAAACTTTATTATTATTTTTTAAAATGGCTGCAAGTTGGATACAGGTTAATTCTATGGATTTTGGAACCAGCAGTTAGTATAATGGCCATGTCGCTGGACTCCCATGTAGTCGACCAAGGTTTGAATCCCGGACCTGATGGCTTAAACTCATGCCAGGCATGGATGCATGCATGCCCAAGATCCCGAGAGGAGAATGGAGGAGAAGGGATTGTGGCATGGCCATCTCCCCTGGGGGTTAATTTCTCGCTTTCCGTCTCTGTCTCTTTTTGGCAAGCACGTGCGCCCTATAGCAAGAACCTCTCAGAAAAAATTGTATGGATTTGATTTTATAGGTTCAGAGTTATTTATCCAGTTCTGAAATTGAAAGTGTTAAAAGTGGAAGTTCTTCTTCGAGCGTTTCAGTAGGTGACCTGGCAGCTCCGTATCGTGTAGCTTGTGTCTTCATCCCCTCTGGCAAGAGTGTCCATACGTTGTGTGTCATTCCATGGTGTTCCTTTTCCCCTGCTGTGTTGTGGACTGTGTTGTGGACTGTGTGGCTTATGTGCCATATACCTTGGTCATATCGGCAGTTCTGAGTTAGGGCCCGTGTCTGACCCGAGGGTTCACTTCAATGAGCAGGGTTCCAATGCTTGGGAGGCACCGTGGTATGTGAACCAGTATTGTGAGGAGTAAGACTTTGTCAAAAAACATGTCCAAACAAACATGTCCAAACAAACACAATGTGTGCTCAGTTGGTACAAGCTTGGCAAGAGGTGTCTTTTCCAGGGCCGTCTTCTCTGTTGGTGCTGGTTGCAGACATGGTAATACGTGCCAGGCTCTGTGGCTGAGTGCCATGCGCCTTGTCTGCCACAAGCACAGGAGTGCGATGGGAACACCCAGGTGACATCTGTTGTGCTCCATCGAGGATGTATGTTTCTGTACTGAAAGCATGCTTGGTGATTTTTACTGATAGTTAAGTTTATTACGATATCTTAATTTAAAAGTTATTTTAATATTATTTATTATTATTATTGTTTAATTTGCTACAGAGCATGTGTGCTCGCCAGACACAGAGCGAGAAGGGAGAGAATACTTGAACGGTGTTCAGCCACGTGGGAGTCTAGCGCCTCAACCACCTTACCTGCTGGCTCCCGTAGGTACTTTCATAAGGATGCAGAGTCAGGTGGAAACAGTTGATCTTTTTCTTGTTTCTCTAGTCTCCCACAAAAGCTGTGTACAATGCCAGACATTGGAACCATCCCGACTCCGAAGAACTGCCTGGGCCACCGGTAGTGAAACCTCAGAGTGTCACAGTAAGTCAGCGGCACTGCCGTGTTTCATGCTGTTAGTGAGGTAGAAGTCGGACACCTACCATCCTATTTCATAGTTCATATGCCTCTGACTTTCCTATTTAACACCTTTTTTGGACCATCTTCGCTGAAATTGAGTGGCTTCAGTTTAATTCATTGAAGAGTGAGGACTGTGGGTATGAGAGCAGAAATTCTAGGACTGTTGGGTTATACAGGAAAGCCTTCAAAAATATGACTCTGACCCACATTTCCTACAACTGATAGTGGTTAGAATCTGAGAGCAAAATTTTCCTTATTTAAAGTTTATATTAACCAGTAAGAGCAGTGTTGCAAATTATGGGGTCATAGTAAGTCAGGATGTGTTTTTCTGTGCAAAAATGCGTCATGACTTTTCCACATGGATCTGAAAGTGGCATTCAGTTCTTTTTTCTTTTGTCATAGGGCCTGTGTGCTCACCAGACAGGGGGAAAGTGAGAAGTCACCACCCTAGGAAGTGGCCTCACTGCAGTCCCTTTTTTCCTTTCTCCTCTCAGAATACTAGGCATGCATGCGTACATGCCTGGCATGTTTTCCAAGCCACCGGCATCTAGGACTTAAACCATGGAGTCAGCCATGTGGGATCCAGCTCCTTAACCTCCAGGCTATCTACTGTCCCCAAAGCGGCTTTCAGTTCTTAATTGTACTTCAGAGGAGTCTCTCTTCTCGCATTCCAGTAATACTTTCATTTATTAATTTTTTTTTTCATTTATTAATTTTTAAGAGAGATTTTTGTTAGAGGGTACATGCACTTGTGAAAGATAGAAAGGAATTCCCTTCCACCTCCCTGCCTGTCAGGTAGCATGGTTAGGGCGCTGAACTCCCACAAGATTGACCACAGTTTGAATCCCAGACTTGGAGGCTTGTTTTCTCACATACATACAAAATATTCTTTAATAAAAGGAAGAAAGGAATCACCCCCCAAGAGCGAAAGGGAATGCTGCAGTCCCTTCTCCTCCATTCTCAGCATTTTGGGCACACATGCCTGGTGTGTGTTTCAAACCACTGGGTCTGGGACTTGAACCACAGTTGGCCTGCTGGAGTCTAGTGCCTTAACCACTATGGCACCTGCTGGCCCCTAGTAATACTTTATAATTTAAATCACGTTATTTGTTCAGAAGGACTGATAGTGTCATATATTAATAGCATTAAAGCCATAGTTATCTGGAGCCATCAAAGGAATGAGTTCTTTATAATAGCGAAGAAATTGGTTGTAGAGATGTTTCCAAAAGAAAATGTATGGTTCTTTGTCCTCTTTTTTTTTTTTTTTTAAAGAATTATTTTATTTAACTTTATTTATTTATTCATTTTAATGTTTACCAGAGAGAGAAAGTGAGAAAGGAAGCTGTTAGGTCCAGGTCTTGAACTATGGTCCAGTGCCCTTAAACACCGCACCACCCACTGGCCTCAGTCTTCTTAAATTGATTATCATAAACTCCTCTTGTAGTTTAAAATCATCATCGCGCATGTTGATAGATTATACCGTGCTGTGTACACCATAATTTGATTATAGCTATTTATTTCTACCCTAAGCTATCTCAGATTTCTGTGCCTTTAAAATTCTTTTGCTTATATGTTGTAGTTTTTCTGTACCATCCCTAGCTGCTTATTAATGGTATTTATGCATGCAGTTGTGGTTTTTTGTTCTTTGTAGTGGTCGTGGAGAAAACAAATTGTGTGAAGTACAGGGTTAAAAAGAACTGAGGGTATTCCTGAGTGGTTCTTCTTGTGTGTAAAACATAAGCCTTACCTAGTAGTGCATGAAGTTTAAAGTCTCCCCTGTGGTCTTTCAGAGGCCTCACCTCTCCCCTTTTCTAAAGCTTTGTCTACTTTTTATTTTTTTCAAGCTCAATTTGCCAGATATGTGAGATGTTACTATTTTTACTTCTATATTTAGAACAGCTAATTTAATACCTTTATTAATAGGTGAGGCTGTCTTCAAAGGAACCAAATCAAAAAGATGATGGAGTTTTTAAGGCTCCTGCACCACCAATCAAAGTGATAAAAACTGTGACAGTACCTACTCAGCCCTACCAGGATATAGTTACTGCACTGAAATGCAGGAAAGAAGACAAAGAAGTAAGCAGCTGTATGATTTTACTGCCTGTGGTTAGATTTTTGTATGTAACACTTAACCTTTTAACATCTTGAGCAAGTATCAGTACACTGATAGTCACAGTTTTGAACCACAAACTTGTCCTATCACTGCTAATGTTTTTAAAATATTTTTTGCCAGATAATGAACTATTGTATACACTATGTGAAGTACAGTGAGCCTGTAGATATAAATATGTTAATTCATAGTTAAAGAAGAGGTGGGCTTATTTTTTCTTGGCAGTTATACACAGTTGTTCAGCACGTGAAGCACTTCAACGATGTGGTAGAATTTGGTGAGAACCAAGAGTTCACTGACGACATCGAGTACTTGTTAAGTGGCTTAAAGAGCACTCAGCCTCTCAACACACGCTGCCTTAGGTAAGGTCTCCGCTCTGTAATTGTGTGCGTGCTGTACCTTGTTACACCTTTACAACTGGCTATTAGCAGGAAAGCCAGGCACTTTTGATTCCCTTGTCATGGGCGTAGAATATACAGACCATGAAATACATATACTGTGTATGGAAGGCGTGATGGACTGCTTTAAAGGATTTGATCCTACCTGATAGTGGGAAAGGTGGGTAAGCAGAGCATTTTTAGCATAGCACAGGTTTCAGTTTCTAGATTTTTTTTTTTTTTTTTTATAGTGCACATCTGCTACTTGGAAAGACAGAGACAGAAAGCAAGACCCCCACCCCACCTCCCACCCCCACAAGGGGGATGGCCATGCTGCAATCCCTTCTCCTTCTCCTCTTGGGATTTGGGGCACCAGCCGGGATTTTCAACCACCAGGTCCAGGACTTAAACCACGGCTGATTACCTGGGAGTCCAGTGACGTAATCATTACATCATCTGCTGGTCCCCAGTTTCCAGATTTTTAAAAGAAGAAAGAAACACTGTGGAAAAGAATCTGAGCTTTGTACAGCTCAACATTTTAGACATTTCAGGTGGCTGTTAGATTACTGCCGCTGTGCCTTTTGGCCGGAACCGCCATCTTCCAGTAATTAACCAAAATGACGAACACAACAAAGGGAAAGATGAGAGGCACCCAATACGTGTTCTCTAGGCCTTCTAGAAAACATGGAGTGGCTCCTTTGGCAGCATATATGCCAATCTACAAGAAAGGTGATATTGTAGACATGAAGGGAATGGGTACTGTTAAAAAAGGAATGCCCCACAAAGGTTACCATGGCAAAACTAGAAGAGTCTACAGTGTTACCCAGCATGCTGTTGGTGGTGTTGTGAACAAACAAGTTAAGGGCAAGGTTCTTGACAAGAGAATTAATGTGCGTATTGAGCATATTAAGCATTCTAAGAGCAGAGACAGCTTACTAAAACATGCGAAGGAAAATGACCAGAAAAAGAAGGAAGCCAAAGAGAAAGGTACCTGGCTTCAACTGGAGCTCCAGCTTCTCCACCCAGAGAACCCACTGTGTGAGAACCAAAGGAAAGGAGCCTGAGCTACTGGAACCTATTCCCTATGAATTCATGGCATGATGGCTGTTAAAAATAAACTAATCTGTGGTCTAAAAAAAAAGATTGCTGTTGTGATCTGGTCATTTTTGCATAGTGGACTGAATGTGTTTGATTTGTCCAGTGAGTTAGAGTACCCAATGAAATATAATAATTATTTACTTTGGTTTAAATGATTTATTTATTCATTCTTATTCTTTAAGTTTGCTATAGGGCATATATGCTCACTAGAGAGTGGCACAGAGAGAGAGAGAGAGAAAGTGAGAAAGCAAACCACCAGGTCCAGGACTTGTCTGCCATGTGGAAGTCCTGCACCTTAACTGGACTCTGAAATAAAATTATTTATAATTTTCACATTATAAGAAACGTATTATGAAAGATAGTGAAGACTTCATTCTTTTAATGGTGATAAAATGTAAAGAATGCACTACAGACAGGCAAGTGTTAATTATTTTTTAAACATAGTATGCCCAATTGCACACTAAGCCCTACTGGGTATATTTTTAATGATTTGGTTTGCCCACTTTTTTTTTTTTTAAAGATGGAGTCTCGCTATGCTGCAGTCCCCCTGCCTTGGTTTCACCATAGCTGAGATTACAGGCAGGCACTACTGGGCCTGGCGTTTGGGGTGGTTCAGGGTCCTGGCCTTACATGGTCTCAGGTTATTGAGTAGCAGCACCAACCCGTGAGCACTGCTGCAAGAGGCAGCCCGTGGTTTTCTGCTGTGATCTCTACAGACAGCGCTTGACCTTGCCACCCTCCCCTAACTGCCTGTTTTGCTATTGCTGAATGGATAGCGGAGCTGTTTCCAGTTCCCCTGACCTCCTCTGTTTTCTTCTAGTGTTATTAGCTTGGCTACGAAGTGTGCCATGCCCAGTTTCCGAATGCACCTGCGAGCACATGGGATGGTAGCAATGGTCTTCAAAACCCTGGATGATTCCCAGCACCATCAGGTATTTTTAATTTTCTGGGATTGAGAAGCATTTATGAACAATTCTAGCCTATTTGAGTATCAAAAAATAGCTTCACTGAATATTTATTTAAAAAAAAATTTAAGAGATTTTTGTGCTATAGGGATCATGTACATACCTGAGATTCAAAGAGAAAGTGAGAAATCACTCCCTATGGGGGATGGCCGTGCTGCAGTCTCCTCACCTTCATTCTCTTCTCAGGATTTCGTGCGCCCACATACTCATGCCTAGCATGAGTTTCAAGCCCCTGGGTCCGGCTTTGAATTATGGTCAACCAAGTGTGAGTCCAAAGCTTTAACTACTGTGCCGTCTGCTGGCACCTAGGTATATTGTAATTACAGATTGGGTTTGTATTATATGCTGACTTTTTGGAGTTTATTGACAAGTTTTTGCTTAATAAATCACTTAATTATTTTCTCATGACAATATTTTTTGTTTTCTTAATTTGTAAATTTATACTATTAAAATTTTATTCAGTTTTCGGGACGAGCAGATGGCATAATCGCTATGTTGCTAGACTCATATAGTCGACGACATTCGAGTCCCAGACCTGGTGGCTTAAACTCACTCCGGGCGTGTGTGTGCGTGCCCAAGATCCCGAGAAGAGAATGGAGGAGAAGGGATTGCGGCGTGGCCATTCCCCCAGGGAGGGTGATTTCTTGCTTTCTGTCTCTTTGTCTCTCTCTCTCTTTCTGGAGAACGCATGTACCCTATAGCAAAAAAAAAAAAAAAAAAAAAAGCTCAAAAAATTTTTTCAGTCACTTTTCATGGCTCATGTATCATAGTGTCTATTTAAATATGTGAGCGTGACTTTTGCTAATCAGAAGGTACTAATGAGAATCTTCTATCAACTCCTTTTTTTTTTTTTTTTGGAGGGATTTTTTCTATAGGGCCTATGCGCCTTCCAAGCGAGAAATCACCCCTCAGGGGGGATGGTCACGCCGCAATCCCTTCTCCTTCATTCTCCTCTCGGGATCTTGGGCACGCACATGCGCCCGGCGTGAGTTTTAAGCCACCGGGTCTGGGACGCAAACCGCGGTCAACTACGTGGGAGTCCAGCGACATAGCCATTACGCTAACTGCTGATTCCCTATCAACTGCATTTTTGAAAGTTCTAATATATGGGGCCTTCAGATGGCGTAATGGCTACATCGCTGGACTCCCATGTAGCTGACCGCAATTCGAGTCCCGGACTGGTGACTTAAACTCAACTCCAGGCACTTGTGTGTGCGTACCTAAGATCCTGAGAGGAGAATGGAGGAGAAGGGATTATGGTGTGGCCATCCACTCTGGGGGTTGATTTCTTACTTTCTGTCTCTCTCTCTCTCTCTCAGTCTTTCTGGAGATCCCATACACCCTATAGCAAAAACCTCTCAAAACAAAAAAGAAAGGTCTAAAACATAACCTTAATTTTTAAAAAAAATTATTTTTTCCAACATAAAGTCATATATCACCCCATTTTGGCAGGGAATAAACTTTGTTTTCACTGCCTTTTATGTTTTTCTCTTTGTAATACGTGTGCGTAATAAAAGTCAGATTTCACGTTGTCAAAAGTTAGTAGGAAGAAATCGTCTTTGCTAGTTATGTCAGTTAGGTATTTTAGTATATTTTTGTTCAAGGAATTTATGTTCCAAACACAGATTAAGTGACACATCCTTAATCGAAGTCTTCTGAAACGTAGTGCCATTAGCAAATCCTAGCAGATACGATCATGAGGAGTGAGGGGGAGAGAGGGAAAGCGGATTGCTTTGTTGTTACACAGTTAAGGTGGGACTGAGGCATTACTGTGTCCTCCTGTGGCCTCTGGTGTGGCACCCTAGTTTCCAAAACCTAATTGCTGTGTAAACATTTAATCAGTCACTTACTTTGAAATTATTCTGGGAGTTCAAAGTTTAAATCCTTAGTTGTATTTTATGCATTAAAATGAGCATAGCAGGATATTTCAAACGTTGGAGTGTACTAAATTTAGCTCAAGTAGTCAGCCCTCCACATCTGTGGGTTTTGCATCAATGGACTCCACCAACTATGGATGGAAAATATTTAGGGGGGAAAGAATAACAGTGTGATCATTAACAGTGCAGCATAAAGCTATTTACATGGCATTTACATTGTATTAGCTATTCTAAGTAATCTAGAGATGACTTATTAACATATGAATTAAAGGATGTGTGTAGTTTATATGCCAATACTATACTATTTTATATAAGGGGATTTCTAAACTTTGATGGAAAAATGAAATTAAAGTATATGTTTATTTTAGTGGAAAAAAATTTTTGCCATCCAGGATTTCATGTACTCATTTTCCACAAATTTTACGAAGCTCACTTGTATGTGGGCATTGAGCATCTGCAGGTGTGGGAAGCCTGGCTAGGTGCCGGGTGGTGCTGTCCTTGCAGTGCCCCCCTTGAACACTGGTGGGCAGCCACAGCCACATTGTCTTCAACACTTGCAGAATATGACACACAATATGGGCAGTGTGCTTGGGCTGAGTGACTTTGAAAGCACATGGTAGTAATGGTTCAAAGAAACCACTTGGCTCACTCAGACTTGATTGGTTTATTTATTTATTTTAATTAAAAAAATAGTTAAGGTTTTTGCCATATGGCACCTGCACTTGGCAGAGAGACAGACAGTGAGAGGGAAAGTGAGAAATCACCTCCTTGGGGGATGGCTATCCTGCTCTCCCTTCTCCTTTATTCTCCTCTCGGGATTTTTGGCACATAGGCACACTTGGTGTAGTGTACTAGTAAGCATCGGGAAATTACTGATTGTACAAGTAAGAAAAACCAAGTTTGGGACTTGAACCATGGTTGACGATGTGGGAGTCCAGCACCTTAACCATTATGTCACCTGCTGGCCTGAGTAGTTTATTTTAAAGAAATGAATGCATATATTATTTCAGCATCCTGAGTTTATAGGCACATTTTAAACTCAGCTGTGTTTATTTTGTGGGGGGTGGGGGATGCTATTTTTGATGTGGGTTTTAAGAACATTCACATTTATTTTATTTTATTTTTAATTTTTTTAAATATGATTTCCTGGGGCCGATAGGTAGCATGGGGGTTAAGCCACTGGACTCCCACACTACTGACCACAAGACCTGGCAGGTTAAAAATCAATGCCTTGTGTGTGCATGTGTGCCCCAAGCCTGAAGAATAGAATGGAGGACAAGGGATTGTGGCATGGCCATGGGCCCTGGGGGTGGTGCCTCACTTTTCCTCTCTGTGTCTTTGTCTCCAGAAGGAGCATACGTGTCCTTTGACAAAAACTGTAAACAATTTCTCCCCTCAAAAGGCCTGTGTGCTCATGAGAAAATGAGAAAGCACCCCCACCCCATGGGACCTGGTCGTTCTGCAGTTCTGTTTCCCTCTGTCTCCTTAGAGTGTTTTGAGCATGTGTGTACACATTTGCCGGCTTCCAGGTTGAGGCCTGAGTCTCAGAGTTGGCACGGCAGTGTCCAGCCATCTTCACCAACGTGCCACCAGCTGGCCCACATTATTGATTTTAAACTGGAATTTGGCTACTATGTATTGAAATCTGAAGAAAAATAAGATAGATGGAAAAATGTTCTTGGAACCAGCAGTTAGCGTAATGGCTCTGTTGCTGGACTCTCGTGTAGTCGACCATGGTTTGAATCCAGGACCTGGTGGCTTAAACTCAGGCCAGGCGTGTATGTGTGCGTGCCCAAGATCCCGAGAGGAGAATGGAGGAGAAGGGATTGCGGTGTGGCCATCCCCACTGGGAGGTGATTTCTCGCTCTATCCCTCTGTCTCTCTCTGTCTTTCTGGTCCCCTGTCCCTCTGTCTCTCTTTGTCTTTTGGGTGTGTGCATGGGCCCTGAAGAAAAAAAAAAAAAAAAAGTTCTATAAACCATTTAGTACATATAGCCAAAAATGTACTTTGTTTTGTGTTTTTCCAGCTTTGAAGCAATTGCTTAAAAAAGGTCCATAGAAGGGAAAAAAAATTTTTTTATTATAAACCATTAAATTTTTTAAAAATCCACAGGTTCAACTGATTTACATGAGTGAGAAGGGAAAAATTTTAAGGAACTGTGCTTTATTTAGTAAATGCGTCTCCCTCGAATATTTCAGAGAGACCACTGAATAAAATGTTTTCAAAGTTTCCAACATGACAGGAACACGAGTTTTTGCATTTTAACTTGTAAACAAATGTCAGTGACGGACTTATTTCCCGAGATAGTCAGTAATTACTTTTTCTCTCTCTTTTTGGTGTGTTGAAGAATCTGTCTCTCTGTACAGCTGCCCTCATGTACATACTGAGCAGAGACCGTTTGAACATGGATCTGGATAGAGCGAGCCTAGATCTGATGATTCGACTTTTGGAACTGGAGCAAGATGCTTCATCAGCTAAGCTGCTGAATGAGAAAGACATGAACAAAATTAAAGAGAAGATCCGAAGACTCTGTGAAACGGTGCACAACAAGCATCTTGATCTGGAAAATATAACGGTGAGGCCCCTTCTTCCCTCCTCCCATGATAAAGTGAGAATTGCTTTCAGAAAGTCTGGTAGTCCGAGTAGCTGTGTGATTTGGGACAAACCACTTAACCTCTTCTAAACTTCACATACATTTAGCACATTCCTGTGAAGTTTAACTCTTGCACAATCCCATTCCCTGCCTAAAATCCCAAAACTCCCTTATCTGTTTTTAAGATTTTTCCAGTAAATGGCCACATGCATTTTGCTAGTTCTTTTCTGTTAATTTTTTTAAATGTAGAAAGTACATTAACGAATGTATTAATTTATTATTAACAATTTAAATCTCTACTTTCTGTGAGTTATAGGAATAAAAATGGCAGGGCCATGTTCAGTGAGCAAGCATTTGTTTATTTCAGAGCATCTCAGGGTGTCCGACTAACTGCTTCAAGGGATCTGAACAGGCCATGGCCCTCAGAGCAGGGTCATGGCTAGTAGCTATCACTGTGCTCCTCCCGAGTCCCATGTTTACGATGGCTGTGGCACTTTTCCTTGAATCCAGTTCTGCTTTCTCCTGGTTCTTTTTACTTGTAAAATCAGTAATTTCCCAGTGGTTACTGGACCAGTAGAAATTAATTCGACTGTAGTTTAAAAAAAACTAGCCAGTTGTCGGCGTGCTAGTTAAGGTACTTGACTTCCATGTGAGTGATCATGGTTCGAGTCCTGGACCCAGAAGCTTGAAACTCATGCTGGGTATGTGTGCATGTGTTCTCAAAATCCTTAGAGAATGGAGGCAAAAGTATTGCAGTGTGGTCATCCTCCCGGGGAGGTGATTTCTGACTTTCTGTCTCTCTGGCGGTTGAATGTACCCTGTAGCAAAAATCTCTCTCAAAAAAAATCATTCTTGGGAACCAGCAGTTAGCGTAATGGCTATGTCGCTGGACTCCCACGTAGTTGACCGCGGTTCGCGTCCTGGACCCGGTGGCTTAAAACTCACGCCGGGCGTGTGTGCGTGCGTGCGTGCCCAAGATCCCGAGAGGAGAATGGAGGAGAAGGGATTGTGGCGTGACCATTCCCCGTGGGGAGTGATTTCTCGCTTTCTGTCTCTATGTCTCTCTCTGTCTGGCGAGTGCACGCGCCCTATAGCAAAAACCTCTCCCCCCCCCAAAAAAATCATAATCCTTCAAATATTCCCAACATCCTCGAAATGAAACATCTTTCTGTTGTCTGCCTAAGTGAAGACGATAAAAATTTATAGAATGCTTTGTGCTAGCCAGATAAAATTCAGGGCTATTGATAATAGGTTCTCGTGAAGGTGGAGAATTGTGGTGGGGAGAGTAAGTTCACTTTAAACGCAAGATGCAGAACTGATGTGTAATCACTGGTGTTCATGTGTTAAAACTGAGGAAGTAGCTGGGACCAGCAGTTGGCATAATGGCTGTTACTAGACTCCCATGTAGTTGACAGCTGTTTGAGTCCTGGACCCGGTGACTTAAACTCACGCCAGACGTGTGTGCATGCGTGCCCAAGATCCCAAGAGGAGAATGGAGGAGAAGGGATTGTGCTGTGGCCATCCCTCCTGGGAGTGATTTCTCACTTTCCGTCTCTGTCTTTCTGGCGACTGCATGTGCCCTATTGCAAAATCCTCTTCCAAAAAAAATAACCTGGAGAAAGAGCTGTTGTGTTTGATGGTATGTTAGTGATTTCTCCGCATCACCACACTGATTATTGCCTCTAATACATATTTATAGGGCAAGTCTGGAGCAGTGACCATTCCAGAGAAACAGGGTCCCACTTGGTGACTGCGGTTTGAGTCCCTATCTTGGTTGGCATGAAACATGCCCAAGATCTGGTGGGCTAGAGTATGTCAGGAAAGGGATCCTGATTTGATCAGGCCATAGTTTGATGAGACCCTATGGAAGAGGCTTGAATTCTCCCTTACACACACTCTAACCCTTTCTCACTCTCATGTGTGTGTACATGCCCTCATGAATAAAGAAAAATTTAATACCATTTGTAATTTTTATTTTTCAAATTTATTAATTAATCAATCACTCTCTAGGCAGTGCGTGTACTCTAAAGACAGAGAAACGGGAGAAAGCACCCCCCAGTGGAGCATGGTCATGCCAAAAATCCCTTCTCCATTTCTCCATCCTGTCCAGAGAGTGGGGCCCCGGGATGAGATTTTTACAGTAATTGGCCATGTGAGATCTGACTTCCCTAACCGGTAGGCTATGAGGCCAGCCCCTGTAATTTGAATTTACTTTCAGTATTTTTCTGATTTTTACTTACTATAAGGAGTGAATTTAAGCTTGGAATTTGCATTCGGTGGATAACGAAGTAAATGTTGCATTTTGTTTCTCTCTCGTGTTGCCTAGTGTTTATTCATTCATTTGAGGGAGTCACTATGAAATTATATGATAATAAACTTACTCATCGACTTTGCCCCATGTTTTTGTTGAATTTCTCAGGATGATAAATTCGAGTATAGAAACTTTCCTATGCTGTGCTAAATAATTTACTCACATGATTAAAACCAGAGCACAGCTCCCTTTCTAATGTCAGCTACTCTTAAGTATTATTTGTTTTAAGTTGCGCACTAGATTTAGTATATTGTACAAGGACTGTCCCTGCAAACTAGTTTTTACATGAATTATTTAGTTTCAGATTCTTTGAAATGTATATGAGACTGCTGATGTGCAAGAAACTATTTTGAATAGTGGTATTGTAGTGTTTTCAGACTTGGAGCCAGCAGGCACAGAGGGGTGTCCTTGTTAGATTTGACTGTGCTTTAACTCTTGAGGACTATTCCAGTTTCCAAATGAAACCCTTGAATAATTGGCAGTTTTTAATGCCAGCTTATACTGAAAGTAGCTAAAATTTCCAAGAATCCTTTTTATGTCAGTAGAAACATACCTTGAAGTACCTGTTTAGTACAGAAATTACCAGTTTTTATTACTGTTCCCCTTCTTCCTAAACCAAGAATGCCTCATTAGGCTTCCAATTTTCTCCTGTGTCTCATGAGTGGACATACCTGAACCAATCTCATTAAACTGCTGCTTGAGGGACTTAGAATGAGAATAGACTGGAATGGAATCTTTTTTGTTTTTTTGTTAGTATGAGTTTCTAGTTCTGTGTTTGTAACCTTGGATAACTTGTTTTCTAGACTAAAATCTTTTAGATCTTTTCTAGATTTATAGTGCTAAGCTTTTCCCTGTAAGCGCTGTTGTTTATATTTCTAAATATCCAGTTTGTATTCAGTTCTAAATAGGCCAGGAGAACTTAATGTACTTTTTCATCATTTCTTTTTTTAAAGAATTATTTGTTTTCACATGAGTTTTTCCAGAGAAAGACACAGAGAGAAAACAAGTCACCATGTCTGAGGCTTAAATTATGATCAGCCACATGGGAATTCCAGCACATTAACCATCACGACACCTGCTGGCCCCAGTGTATTCTTCCATCTTTTTTTGGAGAGGTTTTTGCCATAAGGGCGCATGCGCTTGCCAGAAAGACAGGGACAGAAAGTGAGAAATCAGCCCCCAGGACAGATGGCCACACCACAATCCCTTCTCTATTCTCTCTCTCCTTTTTTTTTTTGGAGAGGATTTTTTTTTTTTTTTTTTTTGCTATAGGACGCATGTGCTCACCAGACAGACAGACAGAGACAGACAGATCTTTTGAAGTTCAGAAACTTTTGGAAGAAAACCAGATCTTTTCAGACTTTGGTAATTAAAGTTGTTTATACACACACACACACACACACCTAACTTTTTTTTTGTAATTAAAAAATGTTTTCGCAGGGACCAGCAGGTGGCATGGTGGATAAAGCGCTGGACAGCCCCACATGCCCGACTGTGGTTCAAATACCAGACCTGGTGACTTGCTTTCTCACTTTCTCTCTCTCTCTCTCTTTCTCTCTCTCTGTATCTCTCTGGTCAAATTAAGATAAACGAATTAATAAATAAAATTAAATAAACAATTATTTTAAAAAATGTTTTCGCTTTAGCGGGAGTGTGCTCATAGAAGACAGAGAGAAAAGTGAGAAAGCACCTCCCAGGGTGGGTGGTCACATGCAATCCTTTCTTTTCTATTCTTCTCTTGGGATTTTGGCATGTGTGCACATGTACCCAGAGGGTTTTTAAGCCACTGGGGCCAGGAGTTGAACCACTCAGTTGGCCATGAGGGATCCAACCACATTAACCTCCATGTTATCTGCAGGCCTAAAAGTGTTTTATTTTATTTATTTATTTATTTGTTTATTTTTAGAGGTTTTCGCTATAGGGTGCGTGTGCTCACCAGACAGACAGAGACAGACAGAGAGACAGAAACTGAGAAATCACCCCCCAGGGGGAATGGTCACGCCGCAATCCCTTCTCCTCCATTCTCCTCTTGGGATCTCGGGCTCGCACGCACACGCACCCAGCGTGAGTTTTAAACAACCGGGTCCGGGACGCAAACTGTGGTCGACTACATGGGAGTCCAGCGACATAGCCATTATGCTAACTGCCAGTCCCCAAAAGTGTTTTATTTTTAATGTTCCTTTATTATAGTAGAAACTAAATTGTTGTCTGTTGCGTGGGGCCGTATGTTTTAACAAAGGAAAGCAGTAGTTAAAATTATAAAAAGAGAATGAAAAATCTTACTCTCTTTGTAAATACGTCTCTCATCTTTTCGTGCTTCCTCTAGTGGTGGTCCTAAACCATTGTTTTTGGGAGGTCTGTCATTTGTGGCATAGCAGGAGTATGTTGAAGCTGCTAATTGTGCAGTATACAGTTTGTGTTTAAGATTGATAAGACCAAAGAGAGCCGTAAGAAAAGACAAGCAGCTCTAGGCAGATATGGAAAGAGTAGTGAATAGGAGAAGAAATGGAGTTAACTACTAAGAAGCTAGTAACTAATGGTATTACTTGAATATCCTGATTTTGAAGGCAGCTGGCGCTCTTCTTTTAAAGACATATTTATTAAATTTTATTTATTTTTATTCTTTCTTAATCTGGCCAGGCAGAGAGAGACAGGGTGATAAGGGAATGAG